TTTTTCTTTCCCTCAGTAGTAGTCACACTTCATGTGGATGAAGATCAGGTCTTAAATTTCTGTTCCCTCTTCCCGAAACAGGCAGGTCAGTGGCTGCTATATAATGTTAGCTAACAATTATTGAGCCCGTAGTAACTGCCCAGCACTGTTCTAAGTGTTATATATGTAATAATTCATTTAGTGTTTCCAATAGATCTTTGAGGTAGGTGCTATTGTTACCCCCATTTTAACTGAAGAAATTGAAGTCAGAGAAGTTAAATAGTTTGCCTGAGGTCTTTTTACATGCTGAAGCTGAGATTTGAATCCAGGCAGTCTTCCGATTTTCCTTGCAATTTTCCCACTAAGTAACTGAACTACCTCTGGCACCCAGAACCAGTGAATTAACTGGTTGTGAAGTCTGTTGGGGGCCTCCCTGGAATTCTGTTGATTGTACCTCAATGACAAATTTTTGTTAATGCTGCCAAAGACATTTTTGCAGTAAATCAAATGTGAAGGATAAAAGAGCAAAAGCCTCAGAAGTGGGGAAATATATAATTTATTTTGAAAGTTTATATGGAGACATAAAAAGTAATTTCTGAATGAGTAGTTATGCAGGCCTAGGATAAAGTTTGTGCATTTATTAGAATAATGAGATTTTAAGATTGCAAAAGCCCTAATTATTACAGGCAACGTTACCATGTGATTAAATAAGACACGACATGGAAAGGGAGTATGTGAAGGAAAGATGAGCTGGCTGTCTAAATAGTTGACTTGTAAGCAGAGAGTGAAGGTGAATAGAGAATGTACTGATGGCTTACTAAGTAAGAGCACTGAATTGGTTTGTGCTTCAGTGCATACAATGAGGGGCACAGGTGAGGTTGGAAAGGACCCACATTGAGCAACATTAGTACAATATCTGGGACACACTAATATACAATATACTTCCTCTGAATTCCATGGCATTTGTGAGGCAAGGAAGGCATAACAATTATTTTGCTCAAAATCAGCAGTCAAAAATATAAATTTAAAAAATTTTCGAATTTTTGTTTAGGAGATTATGTAGATGGTGTTTATATTCTCCAGTGCTGAAAGGACCAGTTTTAGAATCACTGCTTGAAAGTGATAGGAAGCTAGATTTTTAGCTTATTACTGTATACAGAACTTTCTAATACATGGTGCTGTTTAGCAAAGAAGCAGACTATTCCAAGTAATGAGCAAACTGGGTTGGAGGACCACTATCAAAAGTTTTTTGTAACAGACTTTATACTTGAATGTCATCAACAAAAGGTTCAGGGAGGTTTGCAGAGATTCAAATGCAGACCGGTGGCTCCATTGTTATTTTTCTTAACTACTATGCTGTGCTGCTTTTCCAGGTAATTAAACCGAAAGATCCAAAGTACTAATGAGATGGAATAAAAACCACAGAAAGCAATTTTGTATGTGAACGTGAACTTGAGCAAAAGTTTTTTAAAAAACGCTATGATTTCCACCCCTTATTCTGTGTACCTGAAGTTGTTAATCACGTACCAATCTTGTAAAATGTTCCCTAGGGACATATTTAGGGTATCTATATCATAAGCGAAATGCTTGCTTTTGCAGAAAAATGAGCAAATTGGCTACCTACTGCCTACAATAGTTATGGGCTACATTCTAAAATCTGTTCATAAGTCAAAGCATGAGAATGCATTTCCCACATTAATTTAATTTGCTCAGCAAATATGGAGAACTTTCTACATGCCAAGCAATGTTCTGAGAATCAAGGACACAACAGGGCACAAGACCAACAAATAACTCTGCTTGCATGGAGCTTAGATTGCAAAGATACAAGCAATAAATATTAAACATAATAAATAAAATATTATAGAGTACAATAGAAGATGGTGGATGACAGCAATGCTGAGGTGGTCAGTGTGGGCTTTATTGAGAACGTGACAGTTGAGTTGAGGGAAGAGAAAGAGTAAGGAGCATGCCAGGCAGAGGGAATAGCCAGTGCAGAGGCCCTGAGCTGGAAGCATGCTTGGTGTGTTTGAGAAACACTAAGGAACACAGGGTGGTTGTAGCAGAGTGAACGAAAGGGGAAGTGGTGGGAGATGAGGTCAGAGAGAATTGGGCCCAGATCATTCAGCGTCTTGTGTGCCATTTTATGGACAATTTTTATTCTGAGTGAAATGAGGATCCCTTAAAGGATTTTGAACAGATAAGTGATATAATCTCTTTCTGGCTGCTATGTTGGGAAGAGACCGTTGGGGACAAGGATAGAAGCAGTTAGGAAGTTGTTACAGTAATTCAGGAGAGATCATGGTGGCCCCAGCATGAGATGCTAGAAGCAGCCAGATGCTGGATGGAGCCAACAGAATTTCCCAACCAACTGGACCTGGGTGTGAGAGAAAAAAAAGTCAGGGATGATGCTTAGGAGAGACTTTCAGGAGTGTATCTTAAGACATTTTAATTTAAAAATATCTGTTAGGTAGAGTAAGCAGTTGATCATTAAATCAGAAATTCAGAGGAAGCCTAGAAGTTGTTGGCAATAGAGAGCATCAAAATATATGGAATTTAATGTTATCCTCAAGGAAGTAACGGCAGATAGAGAATAGAAAAAACCAAGGTCACTTCAATGTTGAAAATTGGGGGAGAAGTGAGAAGGAGCCACTGGTGTGCCAAAGGAAAACCAAGAACATAGTATTCTGGAAATCAAGAAGAGGGTAATCAACTGTGTTAAATACCAGTGATAGGTTGAATGGTAATTGGATTAGTCAACATGGAAGTCATTGGTGACTTCAACAGAATTATAGGGAGAAAATAGTGCATAATGGTAACAGGGCCAGGCAAGGCTATTTAAGCCTTAATGCATATGCACCACAACACTGAATTGCTATATTTCTTATGGAAAATATGCTTAGCAATACAATGAACAAGTATTTATTGACCATCTACTGTGTGTTTAACATTCTGAGAAGGACTACTGAGGGGGTTCACAAGTTGTGTCTCGTAACAGGCATGCAATGGAAACTAGGTGGGGAGGCATGACTTAACTGAAAATAGAAAAGCTACAAGAATGTGAAATCTTACCAGTCTGAAGAAGCAAAGAAGCCAGCTGTGGCTCTCCCAGGTGTGCAGAGCAATGCACTTAGGAAGATGAGGAAGTCTGAAGATATGTTTTCCCATGTTTTTGTTATGCACTTTTTACGCCAGGGGAATATATTTGAGTAGTGAATGAACAAACTTAATAAAAGATTTGGCCTCATGGAGATCTTGGTTGTGTTAGTCACAACCAGTCTGATTCTGTTTTCTTGATGTGGTGAAGATCATGTGTTATGCTTAGGGGTAGGGCAGTGATTGGGAAGACTGGAAACAGAAAAACCAAGACAGACAAGGGCCTACTCACAATGGAGGGCAGGTAACCCATGTAGTTTCCCAAGAGGAGAGCTTCTTAAGAGGAAGTTCAGGGGCATTTGAGGCCATGTCGGGAAGCTCTGGTATTAGGCAAAATCAAATATTTCTGAAAGTTGAAGTGATTATAGTAGCACATGGAGCACTTACTATGTAGCAGGCACTGTACTATTTTATTCTTTTAATGCATTTAATATTTATGACGTTAATCCTATGAAGTAAGTATCATAAATATCCCAATTTTCAGATGGAGAAACTAGGAGATCAAATGACTTGTCCAATCTCATGGAACTATTAAGTAGTAGGGTCAAAACTGAAACTCAGATGATATGTTTTTATATCATCTGTAGTGTTACCACCATACCATACTTTCTCCCAAGAAGCTGATTGTATTTAGAGCCCAACCAACAAAACATTATCACAACATTATTTAAATATTCTAACATATATTTTTAATGCAGGCACATCTCGTTTTATTGTGTTTTCCTTTTTGCACTTTGCAGATATTGCATTTTTTACATTCTGAAGGTTTGTGGCAACCCTATGTCAAGAAAACCTATTGACACAATTTTCACAACAGCATGTACTCACTTCATATCTCTATGTCACATTTTGGTAATTTTTGCAATATTTCAGACTTTTTCATCATCATTATTTTCTGTTACGGTGATCCGTGATCAGCGATCTTTGATATTACTATTGCAATTGTTTTGCAGCATCACAAATCATGTTCATGTGAGACGATGAGTGAGCTTAACCAATAAATATTGTGAGTGTTATGATTTCACCAACTGGCTGTTCCCCTATCTTTCTCCTTATCCCCAGGCTTCTCTATTCCCTGAGACACAAGAATGACAGAGGAGTTGAAAGGAATTATTTAGGCAGATAGTGAGGGTAAGGAAGTCCTCAGTAAAGTTTTCTCTTTAATGAAAAGCAGTCCCCAAATCATTTCTTTTCTAAAAAAAAAAGAGCAGCCTGTAAAATAAAGCTACAGACATAGATAAGCAAGCTGGAAGCTGGCATGGGTGAATGCCAGCAGCTGTGCCAATAGGATAAGGGTACTTGGAGGCCAAGCATGTTCAACATGGCGGCTCCATCTTCCCTTTTCTTTGTCAACCACATGTACAGTAAGGAATAGACAACATGGCGCTGGCCAAGTAGAAAACCCAAGGGCATAACAAAAGATTAGAGTGGGATGGCCCCTCTAATGACGTCGTACCTTGTCCAACCAATCTCTCTGCCCTATGTAAATCAGACACTACCTCCTTAAGCTCCTCTGTAAAACCCCAGGCATTTCACCATGAAACCAGAAAATTCACTTGTGTGCCCCTCTCTCTCTGCATGAGAGAGATGTTCTCTTTCCTTAAACCTCCGCTCTTAAACTCACTTCTTGTGTGTCTGTGTCCTCGATTTCCCTGGCATGAGACAACGAACCTTGGGTATTTACCCCACACAATGATGCCACTTCAACAATATTGAAATTTGGCCAATTCCAGATGTATTTTGTCATATGAATATTTCGTATTTACTTGTCCCCTGTTTTTGAACATTTATGTATTATTGAACATTTATGTTATTTCCATTCTTTCAATATTGTAAACACGTTTTTTTATATCTCTCTTATTCTTCAGGAAAAATTCCTAGATGTTGACTTATTGAGTTGGAGCATGAACATTTTAAAGACTTTCAATGTGTTCAGCCAGACTGCTCTTCAGAAAAATTACGCCCATTTGTTCCCACCAGCAGTCATGAGAGCATGTGCTTCCCTGAGCCCTTGCTAACATTTGATATAAAATTGTTATGTCATTCAAATCTGTTAATCATTTTTTAAACTTTTTGCTTGTAAAGATCTTCCCTAGCCCAACATCAAATGAATAATAACTTTTTTCATAATAAAAGAAATTAGGCCAATTAATAACCCTACAGTGGCCTCTAAGTGTTTGTCTTTTAAGCTTAGTGAGCAAGATATGTCAAAGCAGAGATAGGCCAGAAGCTAGACCTCTTGTGTTAAACAGTTAGCCAAGTTGTGAATGCAAAGGAAGAGTTCTTGAAGGAATGAAAAGTGCTACTCCAGTGAGTACATGAATGATAGGAAAGCAAAACAGCCTTATTGCCGATATGGGGAAAGTTTTAGTGATCTGGATAAAGATCAAACCAGCTCCAACACTCCCTAAAGTCAAAGCCTAATCCAGAGCAAGTGCTTAACTCTCTTCAGTTCTATGAAGGCTGAGAGAGATGAAAAAGTTGTAGATGAAAAGTTTGAAGCTAGCAGAGGTTGGTTCATGAAGTTTAAGGAAATAAGTCATTTCCATAACCAACAAGTACAAAGTGAAGCAGCAAGTGCTGATGGAGAAGCTTCAACAAGTTATCTGGAAGCTCTAGCTAAGATCATAGATGAAGGTGGCTACACTAAATAATGAATTTGTAATGTAGGCAAAACAGCCTTAAAGAGGACGCCATCTAGGACTTTCAGAGCTAGAGAAGTCAATGCGAGGCTTCAAAGTTTCAAAGGACTGGCTGAGTCTCTTATTAGAGGCTAATGCAGCTGGTGACTTTAAGTTGAAGCCAATGCTAATTTCTCATTACAAAACTTCTAGGACTTTTATGCCAAATCTACTCTCCTGGTCCTCTATAAATAAAATAACAAAGCCTGGGTGATAGCACTGTTTACATCTGTTTACAGCATGGTTTACTGAATATTTTAAGCCCACTTTTGAAACCTACTGCTTAAAAACATTCCTTTCAAAATATCACTGCCCACTGACAATGCACTTGGTCACCACGAGTTTTGATGCAGATGTACAAGGAAATTAACGTTTTCATGTCTGCTAAAACAGCATCCATTCTGTGGTTCATGGATCAGAGTAATTTCAACGTTTGCTTATTATTTAAGAAACACTTTTTATAAGGCTATAGATAGTGATTCCTCTGATGAATCTGGGCAAAGTCAATTGAAAACCTGGAAATAATTCATCATTGTGGATGCTATTGAGAACATTTGTGATTGAAAGTAGGAGATCAATATATCAATATGAATAGGATTTTGGAAGAAGTTGATTCCAGCCCTTATAGACCACTTTAATGGATTCAAGACTTCAATGGGGGAAGTAATAGCAGATATGGTAGAAGGAGTGAGAGAACTATTAATAGAATGAAAAGTAGAGCATGTAGCTGAACATGTAGCTGAATTGCTGCAATATCAAGATAAAACTTGAATGGATAAGGAGTTGGTTTTCATGGATGAACAAAGAAAGTGGTTTCTTGAGATGGAATCTACTCCTGGTGAAGCTGCTGTGAACCTTGTTGAAGTGACAACAAAGGATTTAGAATATTACATACATTTAATTGATAAAGCAACAGCAGGGTTTGGCAGGATTTACTCTGATTTTGAAAGATGCTCTACCACAGGGAAAATGCCACCAAATAGCATGGCATGCTACAGATAAATATTTCATATTGTATTATATTAAGAAATTTCCACAGCCATCCCAGCCTTTAGCAACCACCACCCTGATCAGTCAGCAGCCATCAACATTGAGGCAAGATATTCTATCAGCAAAAAGATTACAATTTGCTGAAGAAGTCTCATATGATCATTAGCATATTTTAGCAATAACGTATTTTTAATTAAGGCATGTAGATTTCTTATCTAGACATAATGCTATTGCACACTTAACAGAGTATATAGTATCTTATAAACATAACTTTTATATGCACTGAGAAACCAAAATCTCATGTGACTCACTTTATTGTGGCACTTACTTTATTGCTATGGTCTGGAACCAAACCTGCAATATTGCTGAGGTTGGTCTATAATTTTTTAAATCTACCTTTTTTGTGAAAAGAGAAACCTGAGGTTTACTGCCTCATCTGAGGCCACACAGAAGGTAAGGAGGCAGAGTCAACGTTTGAGCCAGTATCAGTCTGGTTCTAAAGCCTGTGCTGGGCTTTCTATGCCAGGGGCTACTCCCAGCAGGAGAACTGATTTTGGGGGAACCAGCTTGCAGACAGCCCAGTCTACAAAGATTAGTGGCTGGGTGTGAAAGACAGAGCCTTTCAAATCAGACCGATGTGGGCATGAGTCCTTGAATTACTCCTTCATGAAGACCTGACCTTGAGCACTTTAACCTCCCTGGGCCTCTGGGAACTCCTTTTTAAAATGGGAACAAAATATCTACATCATAAGGTAATTTTGTTCAGGTTAATGAGCCTTAGCACCATGTACATAGTGAGTTTCCTTAATGGTGGTGATGCTCTTATTTTACAGGCAGCTTTTCATTGTATTAGTGTTAAGGTGTCTACATCACCTACGTTCCAGACAATACCAGCGTTTCAGAATAAAACCACAGTGTTTTCTGGAACATCTTTCTTTGTAACTGAACTTGATATAGTAATTGCTATCCTTTCTTGTGTTTGTGTCCAATAATTTCAAACTTCAAATGCTAAAAATGGAAGCAAATACCACATTCCCTGACAAAGCAAGAGAGAAAAAAACCCTATCAGTTGTTTTGCTTTTCTGAAGGCCTGTTATGAATTTCAAAATACAGCAAATCATTTTCTGTGGGAGACTCCAAAGTGAAATTGTAATGATTACTGGCTCAGTGAGTTAAATATCAATTGATTGTTTTTGTAACCAGCCTCTAATTGATCAAAAATTATAGGTTTCAATATCAAAAGGGAATATGATCTCCCTAGCACTAAGCAGTGTTAATTTGGTCCACATGGGAGACTAGGGAATTGTTAATTCCATAGAGAAAGAATCTACTTCTGGAAGCCGACTCCAGCAGTTGCATTGGAGTCAACGTGAACAAACAAGGGATTTATGGAAGATGATACTGCCTTCTTTTAAAGGACAAAGAGGAAGACCATGTTCTCCCATTGTCATAATATTTACTGAGAGATTCTTTTGTGCTATTCTCAATACAGATTGTCGGACCAAAGCCGTAGGATAAAGATTAGTAGTGTGGACATTTGCATGGTATGATATCTTCATGAGCTTGTGAATGTCACTTTATTTTTGTGAACCTCAGTTTCCTCATACACAAAAGTGGTTTCGTAACACAGTAACAGCCAACATCTAGCAGTTGCTTACTTTGTACCAGGAACTTTGCTAAGCACTTTTTTATTTTTTATTATACTTTATGTTCTAGGGTACATGTGCACAATGTGCGGGTTTGTTACATATGTATACATATGTAACATTACAGTAGGTATATCTCCTAACATTAGGTATTTACATTAGGTATATCTCCTAATGCTATGCCTCCCCCCTCCCCCAACCCCACAACAGGCCCTGGTGTGTGATGTTCCCCTTCCTGTGTCCAAGTGTTCTCATTGTTCAATTCCCACCTAGGAGTGAGAACGTGCGGTGTTTGGTTTTCTGTTCTTGCGATAGTTTGCTGAGAATGATGGTTTCCAGCTGCATCCATGTTGCTAAACACTTTTTATGCATTACTTGTATTATTCTCATGACCCAATGAGAGAGTTTTCACCTCCGTTTTGGTCATTTCAATCCCACAGTTGATGTTCTTCCTTGCAGTTATTTAACTTCAAGGAGCTCTATGGGAAGCGGAATTGCTTAATCCAGAAAGGGTTCTTGGGACCACAGATGGTAACGTCTTCCCACTTTGGTGCATGTCAACAACCCCCTCCGTCCTCACTGTGGTGCTTCTAGTGGAACGGCCTTGGCAGGTTCTATCCTTTGCATTTTAGTTTTGCTATTTATGCTGAAACAGTTTATCTTTGACTCAATTTGCATTTGAATGATGGCCATAGTGCCATTTCTTTTCAATGTGTAGCTTTCACGTAATCAACAAACAAACTGAATTCTAGAGATTGTAGCTTACATCTCATTCTGGTACCTTCTCTCTGCAGTTCAAGAGTTTACATTTTAACTTACAAACTGAGAGTTCTATTTTCTTTAATTAAAATACAGGTTTGGTGAAATGTATTCCATTTTCCACATTTAAATCTTTTTATCCAGAAACTGGGGAACCAAAAGGCTTTGGCTCTTATGTTTTATTTCCAGAACCATCACCTTAATCATCTATGTTTCAGTGTTTATGTGTGTGTGTGTATATACATACATACATATATATATATATATATATATATTTTTTTTTTTTTTTTGAGACAGAGTCTCGCTCTGTTGCCCAGGATGGAGTGCAGTGGTGTGTTTTCGGCTCACTGCAAGCTCTGCCTCCCGTGTTCACACCATTCTCCTGCCTCAGCCTCCCAAGTAGCTGGGACTACAGGCACCTGCCACTGCACCCGGATAATTCTTTTATTTTTAGTACAGACGGGGTTTCACCGTGTTATCCAGGATGATCCTGATCTCCTGATCTCATGATCCACCTGCCTCTGCCTCCCAAAGTGCTGGGATTACAGGCATGAGCCACTGCGCCCAGCCTGTTTCAGTATATTTTGAGTATTCACTCATCACATATTTATCACATACCTATTGATAAATGAACAGGATCTGGAGTTTAGCAGAATTAGTGATAATAACAGTAATAATGACTAACATCAATTGAGTTCTTGTGGTGACTCACACTGGGCTCAGTGTTCAACACAAATTACACAACTTAATTTAATCCCCATAGTGACCCTCTGAGATTTTATTACCTCCATTTTACAGATGAGACAGCTGAGGCTCTGAGAGGTGATGTGATGTGTCCAGGTTCATACACACATTCATCCATACAGGCCTGACTGGAAATACAAGCTCTTGTTTTCTTTTCTCAGTACCAATGCTCCCGGGAGGTCCCCAATCAATTTTTAATTGTCTCTAACTTTCTCTACCTTTCCTATGCCTCAGATACACACCAGGGTCTTCATTACGCTCTTCATCATCCCCCCGGTGCTTGTCCCAGCTCTCCTCTATATGTCTTATATACTCTCCCCTCACAGGGATTCCTGATCTTTAAATCTCTCTGTTTTAGCCCTGGATTGGTAGGTTTGAAAATGAGCTTGAGCAGCTCCTGGGAGGAGCTTTGACCAGGTAAGGAAATATCTTCTACCCAACCGTCTAGTTCATTTTGATTGTTTTGACTTCTGTTTTCTCTGTCAAACTCCCCCTTCTTTCCCCACCCCATTGTCCCATCATTAGCTCCATCATCTCTGTGTTCAGGTGAGGGCCTTGCCTTGTGCTTCTCAGCGGATGTCCTTGCTCTCGCCGCCCCTCACCTGGAAAGCCTTTCCTTTCCCTCCACATCTATGAAAATTGTACCTATTCTTTGGGACCCTCCAAAAATATCAATGTGTTCTAAAGTTTTCCTGGTGCTCCAATTGCGTGAAATTTCCCTTTTCTTTGAATCATTATGGTGCTTCATCCACATACAACACCTTATAATAATAGTACTAATGATGACAAGGAGGAGGAGGATGTGGAAAAGCAGGAGAATGAGAAGGAGGGGAATAAAGAGAAAAAGATGCAGACAAAGAAGAAAGAGGAAGAGCAGAAGGATGAAGAGGAATAGGAGGAGGAGGAGGAGGAGAAGCAGACTATGACACGCCATGCACTTCACAAGTATTATTTCTTCTTCACCAACACCTTATGGAGTGACACAATGCTGTCACATTTTACAGATGAGAACGTTGAGGCTAGAGAGGTCATGTGTTTGCCCATGTCCTATGCCACTCAGTAGATGGTCATGTAGGAACTGGGTCATCTTTACCTCAAGTTCTCCTCAGTGCCTCTCACAGTGCCGTGAGTCTAGTAGGTTCTTAATGAACATTTTCTAATTGAGTGGAACAGAGATAATTAACCAACTAACTAACAAGCGCTATACCTACTACACTTAAGTGCAGGGGTTGTTTTCCATTTTCTTTCTTCTAATCTTTCTCAGTGGACTTTCCTGGTGTGGCAGAGACAATGCCACAAGTTCATACAGGAAGACTATGTGTCACATCTCCTGCTTTGAGTGAGGTCACTTGATACATTCTGCCTGTGGAATATGGGACGATGTGCTATGCACCATTCCTAGGCCTGGCCTCTAAAACTCCACTAGATTCCTCCCCCGCCCAGTACTCATTCTTTCTCTTCCTGAATGTAAAACACCCAGCACAGAATCCTGCAGTCTAGACTGAAGAAGCCTGGGTCTCTGATTAACTGCATGAAGCAGATGCCCCCTTTCCAATCTGCGCTGGACTAGAACCCTCTCAACCAATCTGCGCTGGACTAGGCATAAAAGATAGATAATCTTTATTATGTAAAGAAATTGAGACTTCAGGGTTATTACAGGCACTACCATTACTTGTTCTGATTAATAATCCAGGCATGGATTCCACACAGTCTTCTCACACAGACTTTTAGTTTTGAATGAATTCTCCTAGATCCCAAGTGTGGCCAGGGTGGCTGAGCATCAGTATTCTTGAGGTGACAGTCACTAAATATGGTCCCGCAAGCGGTGCCTGTCTTATTATCTCAGATCCTGATCTAGGGAAGAGGCCCAGTGGAGGATTTTCCAAGCTAATGGCATAAAATTTTTCAGATAAAACAGTAACAGCCACCAAACAGCAAAAAAACTTTTCTAAGGCTTTTTCCCTTGTTCACCATTCTGCCCTTGTCTTCCCATATTAGATCTTTTCCTTTCCAAACTGTTTATGATGCTGGAAAATTCTCTATGGCTTCCCTGGATGGCTCCAATATCTAAAGATGTCCCTCACCTCTGGATTTATTACTGGGCCTCTCTGAGTGGGGTCAAAGGGCATCCCAAGCCCCATATTCTGAGCCTCCTCCTTCCCTTATGTGCTCCATAACTCTCCTTTGCCATTTATTGACATTTGAGACACTTGATCTATGACTGCCTTTCTCTCCCTCCCCCTTGTTTCCATGCCTTGGTTTCCAGGGACAGCAAGAATATATTATTTCAAGAATGAGGACAGGGCCAACTTATTTAGGATCTGTGAGTGAATTACTGGGTAGAATTTTGCATAGACTCACATTGCGTTTAAGACTTAAGGTTCAACATAGCACCAAACACATTATTTAGATTCTAGATCCAGGAACTTAAGGCTAAAATTGGAAGTAAAGATCCACATTGTGCTGTTCTCTAACTCTCAGTCTGTCTGTTCATTTTCCTGTGAGGTAAGTGTTTTCTCCATGTTATGAGGAACCAAGACTCAGACAATGATTGACCATGATGGGTGTAGAACTGAAGATGGAGCCAGGCATCCTGGCTCTTTCCCCTGCACCATGGCAAGCTTCCACCTTTTGTAACAGATTATTTCTTAAAAATATAGCATTTATGTACAGCATAAATTAGAAATGCTTTGAAAAGTAGACTGGACCTGAAATTTCTGAGTTTCTTAAAAAATCAGCCTAGGCTCATTGCCAGGAGCGTCTGCAAGCCCATGCTGCTCAGGTGGCTTTTTGCCAGATGCCTGCCCTGCTCATCCAAGGTCACAGCCCTGGTCAGCTATGTGCCAGACCAGAAGAGGCTGCTGTGGATCCGTGGGCCTTGAAGGCTTTGGTTTCTTTATTCTGTTTCCAAATCAACCTTTAATTCTGCAAAATGACTTAGAATATTGACTTTAAAAATCAGCAGCTCCTGGGCTTTAGGGAGCTGTTATGATATCGAGAATAGAATAACTAGCTCTGTGGTTGCCGAACTCTGATCTTTGGAAGTTGCCTGTCCAAGATGGATTTTCTATTGGTGGAGAGTAAATGAGAGAAAAAAGGACAATAGTGAGTATTCTTGATAAAGGTGTTTGTATTCAATGTAAAGTCCTGCCCTTTATTCCAGAATTATACTTTTCTATTTTTGATGGTAAAATGATATTGAGGATATATTGTTCTTTTTAAATTCTTAACTGGGAAAATAAAAAGAAACTCACTCTATTTAAGAAATAATGTATTATGTAAATACAGTCATGTGCCACTTAGTGACGGATCACGTAGATGACAATGGTCCCATAAGATTCTACTACCACATTTTTACTATGCCTTTTCTATGTTTACATATGTTTAGATACACAAATACTTACCATTGTTTTATACTTGCCTACAGCATTCAGTAGAGTAATGTGCTGTACAGGTTTATAGCTTACAATCAATAGGCTATACCATATAGTCTAGATGTGTAGTAGATTATACCATCTAGGTTTGTAGAAATACACTCTATGATGTTCACACAATGACGAAATCACATAACAGTGTGTTTCTCAGAATGTATTCCTCTCGTTAAGTTATGCATGGCTTGCTCTCTCTTTCTATACATATAGTACTGGCCCATGTGATGAAAAATTTGAAAACTACAACTTTAGCAGATATTTTTCCAGACACAGTGATCTTTGTCATTTGGGGAAGGGGGTTTTCTTTTGATATGTTATTGGTCTTGGGTAATCTGTCTTTATCTGAGCAAAATAAAAATTTTATCTTTACCTTCATATCAATTCATGTATTGAAAAGCTTTGGTCTCCTTTGGCTATAGGGACTAGGGACTTAACATGTCTCTCTCTTTCTTTCTCTGCATGTGTGTGTGTGTTTTAGAGGAAAAGAGCTGGCCTCTTAAGGCTAGGCTACAGGAACTGACTTACGGCCATTTTGGTTTCTTGACACGCAGGAATACATAAATTTGCTTACTGTCAGCTTTGTTGATATTGGATTAATTTTATTTTTATGCCCAATGCAACATTTTTAGTAAAGTAATTAATAAATTACTATGAGATAAAAAAGCAGGGTTTAGGGTCTCTACTACATTTTACAAAGCAACAATAGTGAACAGTGCTACATTAATAAATACCCTTCATGAATAAATTAGATCAGATATGTTGAGTTAAATTCAATTATATGTATTTCTAAGTTACATACATTTTTATGTTAAGAAATGGCTTAGGACTAATTGCTAAGAATCTGTAGGGTTCCAATCAGGAAAGCACTAATCAGTTCTCTGTTGACTGTTGCAAATTTGAATAATAAAGTTGAGTTGGTGAAGTAGATTCTATAATTACTCACTGTTGTTAAAATAAAACCTCACTAATATGCACTTCTTTAAAGCTCACTATGCTCCTTCTCTGTGACATACAGGGACAATCAGGAGTATTTTGGTCTTTATTTATTGGGGCTGCATAATCTGATTATCTCTCATTAGTTCAGAGCTGATTATTTCATTTATCTTTGTAAATGTGACAACAAAAGGCTCACTTTAATTAAGCAGATCGGCAATTAGCTCTTGTTTTATAGGAGTTTGAAACCTTCCTGTACTAATAGCAGGCAGCATGATTATAATCAGAAGCCCAGGAAGAATGGTGGCAGAGGACAGTTTGATTTAGAGCACCATTTAAGTGAAAGCTATGTAGGCAAAGTGGCTCTCCAGCGACAAAGATCCAGAAAGGGCTAGCCAAACCAGGGGACAGACTTGAGAGGGCTAGGCCAAGACCTTCTCACCTCTATTATGATATAGGCAGTGACTTCATTCCTTTTTTTCAAAAAAATGTATTTCTTTGTAATAGTAATTGCTATTATTTATCAATCACCTATTATATTCCAGGCTTTGCATCTATTACTTTAGCTATATTACTTTTCTTAAAACCTCATGGCAGTTCTTTGACGTAGGTATTATTAATTTATCCCCATTTTAGAGATGAGTTAACTGAAGGCCAGAGAGGTTAAGTCATTTGTCCCTGTTTACACAGCTAAGGATTAGAACCCTTATCTGATTTTGCTACTCTGCAAATTGGTTTCTTTTGCTCCATCTCCCTTCCTGCTCTCTCCTTTCTTCTTTTACCCTCTCCCCATCCCTTTCTTTTTCCTCCCTTCTTTCACTCATCTCCTTGCAATATGCCCAGTAGTGTACACTGAGGTGGAGATATTTACATGAGCAAGACATGGCCAGGACTCTTGAGAAAAGTACAGTGTAATGGAGGCGGAGACATAAACTACATAACCATAGCAATGCCTGAGACAATGCGAGGACAAAGCTAGATAGAAAGGGCACAATGTAGCATGATTGGCACATTTGGCTGCTAAATCAATATTTATTAGAGTGGCTTGGCCTGGTCCTTCTCATTATTGCACCTTGTGTTTCTCTTCCTTTTCTCCTAATGAGGAGCTGCTTCTAACTGACCAGAACCTTTCTGATTATCTACATGGGTTACACTATGTTTAATGTAAATGGAACTTACCTTTATGCAGAAGGCTGGTGTGATCTATCACAGGCTAACTTGCAGTCTCATTTAGTTTTTCAGGAATAGTTAGAGGAAGAATGAGATAAATACGGATTTTTCAGAAGAAGGGGGAAGAAAATGGGAAAACGAGAGAGGACATGGTTGGAAGGAGAGGGAACTTTGTTCCTTGGAAAGGAGAAGAGAAAGAGTGAGTTGGGGGGATTGGAGGATGGGGTCCTGCCTTCCCGGGGGAGGGGCTGGTGACCATCAGTAGAGACGAACAAGCCAATTAGAGCTAGGGCTGCTTCTCGGTTAAGCAATCAGGCTTGGGGGCTCTGGTCCCTTGCCAGATTCTGAAGACATCTGACTACATCTCCTCAGAGAATGGATGGTGTTGCCACTTCTGTCCTAAACCTGTCAACACTACCCACCTAGTCCTGAGATTATCAGAACACCTGCTGATATTTTTAATTACAATGTTTTTTAGTGTTGGTTTTTGTATCAGGCTCTACGCAAAACACTTTAAAACACTGTCTTCACAATATAATTGTAAAAATACAATTATTACACATTACAATTGTATTATGAAGAAAGTATCATTATCTTCAATGTACCTACGAGAAAACTGAGGCACATTCAGGTTAATTAACTTTCCTGGATTCACATAGTAGTGGTGCCTAGACTTGAGCCTATAATCTTAACTGCTACGTAATAACTTCCATATTTCTTTGGGCTTCCTGACCCACCAAGGGGACTTGACTTTCAGAAATTATTTAAGAAGTTAATTTAGTTTATTGCTTCTGAAAACGTTTCTTTATATGTTTAATAAGCCACACATTAGAGACTCTTACTGTAGGCAATAGAGAACCATTGAAGGATCTAGACTAAGGCATGACATGATGCTTCCATCATGTGAAAGGTATGTTTTATGATGTGTGGAGGATAATTTGGAAAGAAATTACCATGGAGTTGGAGATGTTGGTTAGGATGATATTGCAACAGTTCAGTCACAAGAGGATGCAAGCTTGGTAGCAATGGGAGTTGGGGAAAAAGGCACAGGTATGAGAAAAATTACAAAGAATAATAAGTTTCAGTGACTCATAATCATAGGGGGAAAATAAAAGGTCCCTGTGCATCAGAGTCTGCACTAACTGAAATACGGGAGTCATATGTGATTGGGTAGATGAACTACAAAAGACATTGAGCGTGGTGATAGGTCTTTGACCCGGTCCTAAGAAGTATGGATTAAATGGGGATAGAAACCAGTTTAGAGGGGAATAAGGAGAGACTGGATGACGAGGAAGGAGGTAGAGAACATGCATAACAGTTTTCAGGCCAGGAAAATACAAATCCATTTCAATAGAGAGTATCTGATTCCTCCCTCAGCCCAACTCCATCTGAGGAGGGACTTAGTAGATGGTCACTGCCCACCTCTTCCTCCTGCTGATGAGACTGACGTGCAATTTAAGGGTAGGGGCCTGATGTTTAAAATTCATCTCTGCATTCCTAGCACCCAGAGCAGTGCCTAGAGCAGGGTAGGTGCTCAATAAATAATTATTGACTAACTGAATAATTAATGAGCCAGAAGCTGAGGCCAGAGCTCCTGGCTCTAAGATGACCTCCGGTGGCAGGGGCTGAAGTAAGGGTGGTCAAGGTGCTCCTATAGGGCAGCTGGGAATGGCAAAAAACAGGAGACCAAAGCGGAAGGTCAAAGTGCAGAGGTAAATTTTAGGTTTAAGTCTGAGGGGGTGAGCACTGCAAAGGGGAAAGAACAGCAGGGATTAAGAGTTCTGTAAAGTTGGAGGTACAAGAGCATTGCTAGGAAAAGGACTCTCGTAGCTGAAGTCATATTTACTGAATACTAGTGGGTTTTGGCACGTGAACGGGGTGAAAATAGAAACAGATTCTGCTGTCTTCTGTGTATAAATGAGAGAGACAGAGTTGAAAGGTAGAAACAATACATAAGCAAGTGTAATTGCCACCCCTCTTTCTCACTAAGAACTATGGAGAAAAAGTGGTGGATTGGGTAGGAGGGGAGAGTCGGATGGTGCCCTTGGAGCCGTGGATCCCTGGCCAGTCTTAAGGAGTAATAGTTTAACGCATTTCTTTACCACTCTAAGTAGAGTTTGGGGTAGGGCTGGTTGGGGCCATTATGATGTTCTGTGAATTCCCCAAAGATCTGGGCTTTTGTCTGTCTGAGAAACTTTGATGATCAAAGCAAGAAAATCCCTGTTTAAGAGTGGCATCTGCTGGGCAGCCTCGGGCCTTGGGTGCCCCTTACCAATATAGTAGTTTGGTCAATTTAAGGGCACACATTTGGTGACATCAGAGGGGAAGGTGTAGGTGAAATAGAAGAAATGTAAGATACTGGCTGGAGAGAAGATTATTGAAGATGCAAGATCACAGAGTCACAGAATGTCACAGGTGGAAGGGATCTTCTATCTTGTGCACAAATACCTTTAAATATTTTAGATAAATAGTCATACAAGGGCTGAGAAGATATGAAGTGAAGGAACAGGAAGCAGCGTTCATTCTGGTCTAGAGAAAGGAACAGCTGTTTCTCTGAAAGAGTGATGGCTGAGAGGATAGGATCTAGACAGAAGTTATTCTGAAGTAGAGAGGAGGAATATTAGAGGTTTTATATCAAGAAGCGGAAGTTTTGCCTCTTCCCTCAAAATATTAGTTGTTTCCCTCTGCTCTTCTCTTGCACAGGAAGGTGGAATGGCATGGGGAACACCCAGGCTTTCACTTGCTCCAATTTACCTCTAACACTTCGCAAATAAGAGTGGCCTTCCTGGCAACGGCTTAAACCAAAGGTGCTTACATTCTGAAATGGCAACTTGAATGGAAAGGAAATCCTAATTGGAAACACTTTTCAAGCTCTTAAACAATAATTCGTTTTCCAAAAAAGAGAAAGTTATTTGCTTCCTACAAAACAGTACTTCTACTTAAGTATGACAATAAAAAGTTTTTAAAAATGTATATAATAAAGTGCAGGTAATTTTACCACTCACATACAGAAAAGAAAAGACAAGAAAAAAACTAAAGAAAAAAGGTAAATCCACACAGTAATCCTGAGGTTGATCCAAAGTCTTTGTTTATACCAAAACATAAAGACATAGGTGGTGCAAAGGACTGATTTTATGTCCCTGCAAAAACTCAGAAAGCTAGACATCAGAGTTTACATAAAATGGATAGAAGTAGACATGTACTTAGACATGTTAAGGACGAAGGCTCCCAGACCAGAAGACTGCAAGTTAGCAGAAGACTGCAAGTTAGATTCCAGTGCTTAATTGAGGAGAGTAAGCAACATGAAGGGCAAATGTGTTGATGGGGTGGATCATCAAGCCGGAAGTATAAACACCTACTCTCCGCCAGGAGTAGATGTTTTAATTCAATCCTCACAACAACCACGTGAAGCCACGCAGAGATTTTAGACGAGATTCTAAGTGGTTAAGGAGCTTCCGTGAGGTCACATGGCTTCAAAACGGAGGGTCAGCGTTTAGCACCTTGGTCTTCTGCTCTCAGAGATCATGCTTTTTCCCCCTGGCTGAGCTGCTGGATAGCTCTGTCCAAGCGGGTGGCATGGCCTCCAGGGACTTAGGAAATGACGCTGTGGAAACGTGTGCTTGCTTTTCCCACTTGCTTTTTGTCATTGGGTTACTTTTTCTCTCCAGATTAGTTTTTCAGTTTAATTGGTTTTGGTTTTGGAATTTTTTATAAAACTAGTTATTCTCCCTATCTTGCTTAAGCAATTGTATTCCATTTGATATTTTCTGACCTTACTCTTGGGTGGGGGAATAATAGAATATTTTACACGGAAATGAATTGTGATGTCGTAGGTGAATGTGTGGGAGCTCATAAATCAACAGTGATCCCGGGGGACCATGGAGGGCCTCCTGGCCCTGTCCAGTGCTCTTTAGACCTCTTTATGCTAATAAAACAGAGATTTCTCTAGGAAGGGCTCCACCTTTGCAAATGACACTCATAATAAGCTCAGTGCAGTGTTGCAGTAATAGGCTGTTTACCTGCTGGTAATTGGTAATTTAGCCAGTGTAAAGGGGCTAATGGTCTATCTTCTCCATTTGGAGAATTAAGAAGTACAATTTTGTCCAAATAAACTGCATTTGTCTGTGGAAGACCCTGCAGAGAGCCAAGGACAGGGAGTTTGTCTTCCAAGGGTATCCTTGTTGAAAATACAGATGTGTGAAAACATATAGGGCTAGTGATTTCCAGATTTCTAGATGAGTTACTGAGTTTCTGTGAAGGGACTTTGTTATTTATTTGACCATCCTGGTAAGTGAGAAATGGGGCAGTTTATCAAATGACATAGACTATATTATTCTGATTCCTTGTTCTAGTAATTATGACACAGACCAATGAGTGCTAGTGGAAGACTAGCATGACCATTTAAGACTTGCTTATTTCAGTCTATATAGAATTAATGTGGATATTTTGTCATAGGGCCTGGGGGCAGGGAGGGGAGGAAAGAAAGAAAATGCATTTTTTCTTAACTAAGTGACCACAAATAGAGATCTTATTAATGTGATGATGACATGTCAACACAATGAAGAATTATAGAGACATTAAATAACAATGAAACTATATTGAAATAGTTATATGAAAATATATCGAAGGTGTATATGGTAAGTGCATACAGTGAAAAAAGCAGGACAAAATTGTGTGTGTTCTCTGATGAGATGCATGTAAAGTAGGACATGCATATATATGGACAAATGCTGGAGGAAAATATACAAACATGAAAATATTTGGGAGAATGTGGGTTTGTAAACCTATGGAATGATGCAAGGGGTCATTTGTATCAGATTCATTTTGGCCAAGGGGACTCAGTGTATAAGTTAATTTGCTTCCTACTAGTAAGAACAATCATATTTTTTCTAGTCAGACAGTGTTGGTCTTAACCCATTTATGCCTGAGGTTGCAATTTTTTTAAAGTTTTTACAATCAGTCCTTGCCGATGACATTGAGCAGTAGGATATAAATAACTCACACGTGCTTAGCGTTCCAATAATGGAACACTAGGCATACATTTAATTCATTCTAACAGTAGGATTCCTATAGGCCAATGTAATCACAGAATGGTAGAATAATTCAGTGTCCTGAGAGCTCAGCAAAGGGAGCATTTCCTTCTACCTAGTCCTCATATAATATTTTTATGGAAGAAATAGAATTTACACATGGTTCTGATGTAGATTGAATTTTATCAGGTGGAGATGGGGCTGAAGACATTTTAAATGCAGGAAGAGTACTACTGAAGGCCTAGGGTAGAAAAAGTGCCGCGTATAAAAATTCACGGAGATGATTTAAAAAATTGGTTTGTTTGAAATCTGGTCATGAAACAGAATGGGGAGAAATCTTTAAAAGGTAAATCAGGGACAGGTTATAGATGCCCTTGAATGCCTCGCTAAGTACTATATATTCCCATTGCTTTGCTTCCCTTGCTTTCATAAAGATCTGGACCATACCTCAAAATGCAAATCACTGAATATCCTTATCTCTTAGCAAACCAAACTTCCAGTGCACACACTCTGCCCTGGGATTAAGTACAGTACTTTTGGAAATTGCATTATCTCATTCTATTCACTTTTTTCCAGCACATTTGTGAACTGAGACAGTTCCTGCTATGTGGATGGTGCAGAATCCAGCAGTTAGAAAAGGTATTAGAACATTTGTACTTTCAACTGGAACAACAGTAATATTTTGGACCAGTCATTACTTTGATCTTGCTTGCTAACGTGGAGGATAGCACTTTTCTATTCCATGGAGGTGCAACAAGTCCTTCCCTCATCCTTGCAGGTAAACCGTCTCTTGCAAATGCCTCTTTCTCTTGATCAGTCCAAGCACCACTTATCCTTTGAGTCAAGTTCAAATTCTACCACCTTCTCAAATCTGGCTCTTGCCCATCTCTCTGTTGTCTTCTTTAGACACCACTTTTTTACTTGTACCATGCACTTGGCAACTAAATTCTGTTTTTACATTGCCCTCTACATTTCATGAGGCAGAGGGTTTTTTGTTTTTTTGTTTTTTTTTTTGGACTCGGGCAGACTGGAAGCATCTGGAGTTTAGGAATTATCCAATAGATGTCAAGTATTCTGGGCACGTGGAGGGTAGTTTTACATATTATGTATTTGTGAATTTAACTAGTCAGTTAAATTCCAATAATCCATCAGTCCACAAATACATTTAACCAGTCTTTATAATTTGTAATATTCTTTTTACAACTCAAATGCCTGTAATAAGTTGATTTATTGCATAGAGCTCATGGCAGGCTCTCAGCATTGGGCTACGCAAGGCTCTATTGTTTTTTATTTTATGATTTATTTTTCCTTTATCAACTATCCAAAATCCTAATTCTAACACCATTCCACAGACAGCTCTTAAATTTTTAATATTTGCCATCCTAAACCATCCTCCATGTGTTTTTTCCCATATAGCAGTACACATAGTTTTGTTATATATATGTAGTATGTATAGTACTGTTTTGTGTGTAAGTTTTAAAAATTCACATAATAGTTTTGGGCTGTCTGCTTCATGTTATTTCCTATTTGTTTTTCCATTTACGTTTCAGAAGGCTATCCATGTTGTTTTTTGTAACTCCAGTGTGTTGCCTTGTATATCTATTACCCCTTTCCTTCTCCATTTCCTTAGTGCTGAAGACTAAGGTGGCACAGACCTGGGATGAACACCTTCAAGGGCAGCACTGTCCAAGAGAAAGATGATGTAAGCCACAGATACAATTTTTTATTTTCTAGTAGCCACATTAAGAAAGTAAAAAGAAACAGAAATTATATACTTTGTTGAACTCAGTATACCTATAATATTATTTCAAAAAATAATAATGAAAAACATTATAAGGAGATATTTTCACTTTAATTTTCTGTACAGGTCTTGCAGGTGTATTTTATACTTAGAGAATGTCTTAATTCAGACTAGTCATGTTTCAAGTGCTCCACAGTCACAGGTGGCTGGTGGCTACTATATTTGAGGCTACAGATCTAGAAATATAGACTTCTTGTTTGTCTTGTTCAGCACTACCTTTTTAATGCTGAGAGGAAGCCTGTTTTCCAATAGTCACTCAATAAAAACTTTTACTGAATAAATGAATGTCCCTCTCCGAATTGTGTCTGCATTAGTTATTGATAATACTCCCAGCAGAAGTATATGAGGCTTTCCATTTCTTACCTATTTTTTGTCAGTCTAATGGGTGTAAAGTGGCATTTTTGTCTTATTTTGTATTTCTGTGACTATTAGTAAAGCAGTGCATCTTTTCATATAGCAAACATGCGCTTTACTCATTTTTCTATAGAATTCCCTTTTGTTTTTTGAGGGGGAGTCTTATTTGTTCTGATTTTCTACTAACTCCAGATACTAATTCTGCATTGGTGATAGACACTGTAACATTCTTTTAACAGACATCTGTTAAAATACGTCTATAGTGTGGGCAAAAATCCACAATTTTGGTGTAGACGGTCCAGCAATTCTTCCCTTGATGCCTGTGTGTTTTGTTTTGCTGGGTATTCTGCTATATTTTCTTTTAAATTTACTATTCTGCATTTATCGTTTAGCTCTTTACTCATACAGAATTTATTTTTGTGAGTACTCTAAAGCAGTTAGCCAACTTCACGTTTGTATCTAAGGTTAGGCAGTTATTTAAATTCTGATTACTAAGTCATTCACCTGTTCTCCCACTGATCTTTGATGCCATTTCTATCACATAACAAGTTTCCATAAAGATATGGCTCTGTTTCTGAACTCTCCAACTTTTTAAGATAATTTTTTTGTCTTCTTGCAACATACTAATCTAATACTAATATTGTATAGTTGCTTAAATATCTGATAGAATGATGTTCTACCCTTTGATCTCCTTTTTAAAAAATTTCTTAGCTAGTTGAGGATCTTTATTTTTCCATGTAAATTTCAGACATTGTTCCATTTCTGTCTATTCCCCCTATATCTTTTTGGTATTTTGAGTAGAATTATATTACATTTTTAAATGAATTTAGATTAAATTGACATCTTTATAAGAAGTGGCCCATCTATTAATGTGGTATATCTCACTTTGTTTAGTTATTTTATCATGAAGGTTTGTGAATTCTTGGTTAAGTTAATTCCTAGATTCATTACTGTAATGATTGTTTTGATAACTATTTTCTTTTGCATTTTCTAGTTAGTTACTGCTTATGTAGAAGGAAGCTTTTTTATTTTTATGTATTAATCTTCTATCCAGCAACCTATGTAAATTTTCTGATTAGTTGTAACAGTTTGTATATTCTCTTGGATTTTCTATGTAAATACTCATAATATCTACAAATAAAAATTTTGCTTATTTCCTCCCAAGTTTTGTGTCACTTATTTCTTTCTCCTATTATTAAGTTGACCAGGAAACAGTAGTATTCAATTAAGCTGTAACTATAATAGCTGAATTGCTGTGTTCTCTCTGGACTTAAAAGGCAGGCATGTAATGTTTCTCAGTTTTGTATGGCTTATTGTTGTTGTTGTGAGGCTTTAAATAGCCTTTAAAATTAAAAATGGTCTCTTCTTTCTTTGGTTTGGTTTTTTAATTTTAAATCATGAACAGTTGAACAATGTCAAATAATTTTCTACTCTTATAAGATGTTTGTATGATTTTTCTTTTCTGACTCATTAATGTAAACTGATAGGTTTTTAAAATATTAAACTCAGAAGTAATAGATTATATTTAACCATGACATCTTACAGAAAACATACTGTTGGTTTTAGTTAACTAAGTTTTATTTCAGTTTTGGCATCTGTTTTTATAAGAAAAACTATTCTATAATTTTTTTCTTTTTAAAGTAGTTCTTTCCTGATTATAGCATAAAGGCATTATTAGTTTCATAAATGACTTAGGTAACTTTCTTTTTCTATTTTCTGTAAAAAAATTGTATAAGATAAAGATATTTGCTTTGCTACCACATACCTGTAAAATAATCTGTCAGATCTTTTAAGTAGGGGAGAGGTGGTACAGGGAAGATTCTGATGACTGACTTCAGGCTCTTTATTGGCAGTTCCGTATGTTTTATGTTTTCCTGTTCTAATGTTGGCATTTTATAATTTTATAGAATTTTATCCATTTCATCCAGGTTTCCAAATTTTCTAGCCTGCATTTGCTAAAAATATTATTCTGTTTCCTTTTTTCATTTCTGAATTTTGCTGCCTCTTTCCTCCCTTTCCCCTTCTTTTCTTTACTATGTCAATCTTGCCAGCATTTTATCTATCTTATTAGTGTTTTTAAGATAACTACTTTTGGGGATTTGCTAATTACCTTTAGTATTTTGTTGTTGTTTTTCTTGGTTTAATTAATTTTAGCCTTATTTTTACGATTTCATTTTATCTTTTTTTTTTTCTGAGTTTATTTTGTCGTGGCATTTTCTAGCTTTTTATGTTAAATCTTCTCATTTATTTTCATTTCTTCTAGTTTTCTATATAAATGTAATCAACACTAAATTTCTGTTATACTATTGCTTTAACTGCAAGCAATACATTTTGACTTTTATTTTATTTTCATTTTGGCATTTAATGCTTTTATATACCTCATAATTCCTCCTGTAATATCCTCTTTATCCTATGGATTTCTTAACGATATGTATTTGGGCTTTTAGAGATGTAATATTTCTGTTATGATTTTGTTATAAATGTTTTTGTTTTATGGCACTGCAGACAAAGAACACGTTGTATATGATGCCCATCTTCAGAATGTATTAAAATATCCTTTGTGACTTACCGTATGACCAATTTCTGTGAATTTTTACATATCCCCCCCCCTTTTTTTTTTTTTTGAGACGGAGTTTCACTCTTGTTGCTCAGGCTGGAGTACAATGGCATGATCTTGGCTCACTGCAACCTCCGCCTCGCAGGTTAAAGTGATTCTCCTGCCTCAGCCTCCTGAGTAGCTGGGATTACAGGCACCCACCACCAAGCCCGGCTGCTTTTTTGTATTTTTAGTGGAGATGGGGTTTCACCATGTTGGCCAGGCTGGATTTGAACTCCTGACCTCAGGTGATCCACTCGCCTCGGCCTCCTAAACTGCTGGGATTACAAGTGTGAGCCACCGCTTCTGGCCACATATCCTCTTGATGACAGTTTATTTTTATGCTTGTGACTATAAAGTTCATATATTTAGATCAAACTTCTTAATCTTTGATCTATCAGTTCCTGACGGGCTATTTATAGATTTCTCCCTGTAATTTTATCAGTTGCTTTATCTAGTGGAGGCTATATTATTGAGTACTGTTGTAGACTGAATATTTTTGTCCCCCCTCATCCCTGCAAAAATTCACATGTTGAAATCCTAACCTCCAAGGTGATGATATTAGAAGGTGGGGTCTTTGGGAAGTGATGAGGTCATGAGGGTAAAGCCCTCACAAATGGGATTACTGACCTTATCAAAGAGGCCTGAGAGAGGTCCCTTGCCCTTTGCACCTTGTGTGGACTTAGCAAAAAGACTGCCATGTATGAACCAGGAAGTAGGCTCTCACCAGACACTGAATCTGCCATCAGCTTGATTTTGAACTTCTCAGCCTCCAGAAATGTGAGAAATAAGTTTATGTTGTTTATAAGCCACCCAGTCTATTTTATTTTGTTACAGTAGCTGTGATTGAGTGAGACCAGTACATATTTATTATGATTGCTATGTATTCTTGTTATATTATACCTTTACCATGATTAAATTACTCTTTTTTCCTTATGATGTTTTTTCATACTATTTGTTTTGGCTGATATCAAAAATTAGCATTTTGGCTTTCTTTTGGTTTATATTTGCTTAGTGTATTTTTTACTCTATTTTCAACTTTCTTTGTCATTTATATGTTTTTAAATGCTTTTTATAGATGATACATCTCTTTAAAATTCAACCTAGGAGCCTTTTGATTGCTGAGTCGGAGTCATTTACATTTATAATAATCATTACATCTTTGGACAAATGGTTTTACGTTTTCTATTTACAATGCTTTATTTTGGTTTCTTTTTTTAATTTTTAATTTCTCCCTACATACCCATTTTTTTAATCATGTAGTGGATTGGTTGAATTTTATTTTGCTTGTTTGAATTGTTCTATAGACCCATACATTAAACTCTCTATCTTAGCAATAAGTGTTTATATCAAAATTAAAATTATCAAAATTAAAATTATCTGTTTTTTGCTTGCTTCATATTTTTTATAGTCTTCTTAATCTCTCTGAGATTATTTATAATGTATATTTTAACTTCTTATTCTGTCTCATTAGTTTTGCCTCTTATAATACAAGTCAATCCATCCTTAGGTTATCACTCTTTCATGTTTCTCATGCTTCTCAGATTTTTGTAATGTTTCAATTTTAGCTCATTTTTATCCTCTTGGGATATCAGCTCGCTTGATTGGTGATGTTCTCCTGTTAGGAGCACCAGAACCTAGGTCTTAGTCTGGGTTCCTTTGAGTGAGTTTAGGGGGTCATGGGTGTGCTTTCAGGAGGAGAACCTTGAATGCTCCCATCTGGATTCTCCCATTTCTTGTTTTTCCTGCAGGGATTGCTCTTGTCTTCTAGTAGACCAGTGTGAAGGGATGAGGTGGGAAAGTGGAGAGAGTAAACTATGCTGCTTCTCAGGCTGCCACATTCACTTTATCATCAAAGAAAAAGAGAGAGTGAGCAGGATCACTACAGTTCAGCGAGTGCATTTGAGCTCATGCAGGTGTAGTTTTTGTTGTTTTGCTTTGTGCAGAGTACTTTTTACAGTCCCTGAATTTCTGAGCTCTTTTTTTTTTAAATGTCCTGGACTTGCTCACAGCAAAATAATGGGATTAGAGCACAGTAGAGTAGAAAAATAATTAGACTAGGAGTCAGAAAAGCTGGGTGCTAGTTTCACATCTGCCATGGATGAACCATTGCATCTCTCCAGAGAAGATTTTCTACGTCAATTAGTCTTGGAAGATACTACATAGATAAGGATCTGTGTTCTCTATATATCCCTCCTTTTCCTCGGCTCAAGATGCACAATGCATATGAGCACTAATGAGGCCTGAAGGATAGAAATTCGTCGAATTTGTTTAATCTAGGGTTTCCCAAATTTATTTGACCTTGTAGTGCTATAACTGAGAACAGCGTATTAGATGCTGGGCAACTAT